CCCTCCAGGAGCCACTTGAGATTCCAAGAGTGGGATAGTTGTTATTCCTGACAGCATGGCCAGCGAGGATCCAAGGTATGTAAATCCAACCCCGCTCCTGGAGTGCTTGGAACGTGGCCTGGATTAATTGCAGGGATTAACACATAAAGGAAATAACTTGTTAAATGAATTCAAGGTCCTCAAGGCTTTCTCCTCATGGGAGAATTGTGAACCACCTGGAAAATCCCACCCTGCAGGTGCAGCTGTTGTTTAAATGCTTCTCATGCTTGAATGAATTAATGAAAGGAACCAAAGTGAAGGACAAGAACGTTCTCTTTGTCTGTGGAATTAAGATTGTCAGTTGTACAGGTGCAAGTTCCCAACGTTCAGCCAGAGAATTCCTCCAGCTGGGCCAGAACTTGGAGCACAGGAAGATTGACTGCTCAGATAAGGGGTTCTTTTAATTCATTTTATTTTAACAGGTGGATTATATACTGTGTTAATATATGGGTGTGTAAACATAAGTTTGACCATAATATGCTCTGTCATGATTTTCAATTTTAAGATGTTTGTTTTGCAGAGAAAATAATTTCAGTTGTATTTTCAAAAAATTCTAAATAAAAAGCAATTTATTTTTGTTAAACTTGGGGAGGGGATTCTTTAGAAATAGTTGTACCCTTGCCCAGCTAATTCAAAACCAGATCCTGTGAATATTAATACCCTGAGGATATTAAATAGAGTAGAATAATAATATTGAAGAGGAGGAATATTTTAATAGGTCTTATGCATTAAGAATTGTAATATAAATTCCTAACTTCTTTATAATTAATTTTTCTTTCCTCATCTACTCTCTTTCTGGGAACACTTTTTGCAAGTGATGAGTTCATGTATTGTTTCAAACAAAGTCAAGCAGTGTTTATCTTCATTGTATTTACAAAGTTGGAGTGAGTGGCATAAAATTTCCAGATGTTCTCTTAATGCAGAATTAATACAAATAATCATACAGTGGTTTCTGTCTTTATCTGAAGTGGTAAGAGCCCTTTTCATGTTAAAAAAAGGAAGTGCTCTTGCCATAAAATTGACTAAAATTGTCATAAAATTTTAAGGATGGTGGTCCTCCCCCAAAGCTGTAACTCTTTCAGTACCACTGTCCTCTCCCAGACACTGGAGAGGTTAAAATAACTGTATATAGGTGTTGGTTTATTTATTACTTTACTGGGATGATTTACTAGGATGAGTTGCTGAATGTGATTTTTTTTTCTCATGTATTTGTAGGTACAGAAGCAAAATGTTTGTTTGCCAAGCAGGAGGGGCTGTTTGTTAACATCCATGGGAACCCTGATGGATGTGCCAATGCCTTTCTATCAGCTTGGTGAGTACCTGAACCCTAACCCAAACCATTCCGTGGTGCAGCCTCTCTGAAGGTCCAGGGAATAGTTGGACACGTTGGGTTTCACTCCTTCCTTAATTTTTTCAGCACTCCTTGGTTTCTGGATTAGCATTTTAGCAGGTAAAACATAGTTTGCCTGAGCTGTAGTTGTGGTGAGAAGGTGGCTTCTTAGAATCATTTAATTGTGTAAAACTAGTGAGATCATCATCGCAGAATCCCGGACTGGTTTTGGCTGGGAGGGACCTCAAAGCCCATCCAGTACCACCCCTGCCATGGGCAGGGACACCTTCCACCAGCACAGGCTGCTCCAAGCCCCGTCCAACCTGGCCTGGGACACTTCCAGGGATGACTAAAAACTCCAGGATGGGAAAGAAGATTCCCCCCTCAGTTCACAAACCGTCTCCATTTCCCCAGTCTTGGTTTTTCTCAGTTATTTGGTGGAAGGGGCGTTTTCTTATCCGTGTCTCTTATGTAACAGTGTAACATAAACAGTTTTGCAACTGTTCAACTTTCTGTGCTGAACATGTTTGTTGAAACAAAGTTCAGAGGCCGTTTGAACTCCAGCTGGACGGGATTTGATGTCGGTGGGAAGAGGCATTGAAACATTAAATATGGACAGAACAGAGAAACGTTTTTGTCAGCAGGAACTACACCGGCAAGGCAGCTGGCACTGATGATTACAGATCTGAGCTTGTGGCAGCTAAAGAATACTAACAGTTAAAACTTTGCTTTGTTAGTCATCCCCACTGGATGCTTTTTCACATGTAGGTGATCTGTTACTACCTGGAAAGAAATCAATTATTCTTCTTCTAACTGCAGTTCTCTAAGGGGATGTTACTGTTCAGTCTTAACGTTGATGAACAATTGCAAGGGCGAGAAAGAGGATATCTGTGGTTTGAATGGCAAAACGAAACTGCAGAGACGAGTTTCCTGCCCTGTGGGAATATAAATTTCCTGCATGTGCAACTCAAGTTTGCTGCTTGATGTCTTTACATCTCATTTCAGAAGGGCTGCTGGGGGCACAGCCTGATTGGTGAGACACACTGATCACAGACACCTGGCTGAGTGTCCTTCCCAAGTGATTTCAGCAGGTGGCCCAGGTGGATTTGTGTGTTCTGGGTGAGCCATCACTCAGGAAAGGGCAGTTCTTAAGGCACTTCTCTGTGGCCACAGAGAATCTGTGCAGAGATCTCTTAAATGAATCCAGTAGGAAATGCTTGCTTTCCTCTTCCAGTTCTCTCTGCAAAAAGTAACCAAAGATCATGACATAGGTGCATTAATCCCCAAGGAAATCCTCCCAGCACGTGGGTTCCCACTGACACACAACTCCTCCCAATCCCCTCCACCAGGAATTTGTGTTCTGGTTCTGTGTTTCACAAACTCAGGAGCTGAATCCAGGGATCCCTTCCGACCTCAACCACTGTGTGATAGTCCTGTCCTAACCATTATTTGTGGGTCTCCATAAATGGTTTTATTTTTTAATGTATGTCCCAGAGTTCTGTTCTCTTTTCACAGTCGTTCTTACCGTGGTACATCTTGTTAATAGGTCAGGTCAAGATAAGAGAGTTTTAGGGAAGATAATGAAGTAACTTGGCCGATTTGTCCATGGAATTCATCTAAAGCATGAGAAAAAACGTGTTTGAAATTATAGTAGTAACTTCTTTGGTCAACTGAGTGTGGGAGTTGGCATCTCATGAGTCAGAGGAATCACCACAAAATGCCTTAAAATGGAGACAGGAAGTTTTGATTGGCTGCACTCAGCAAGCAAAGGGAGGCTGGAGGAGCTTGAGGAAAAGAAAAACTAGAAAGGTCAAACAGAACAATAATTTCCAGAGTGTTTGAAAGCACCACATTGAAAAGACAGGAATGATCAAAGACTGGGTTGTCAAGGAAAAAAGCTGGATACAGTGAGACCCTGGGGGAATGAGCAGTCTCTTAGGAAGCTTATGCAGGAGGATGAAGAAGCCTCTGGAATATCAGGATTGCCCAGAGAAGCTGTGGCTGCCCCTGGATCCCTGGAAGTGTCCCAGGCCAGGTTGGACGGGGCTTGGAGCACCCTGGGCTGGTGGAAGGTGTCCCTGCCCAGGGCAGGGGTGGCACCGGATGGGCTTTAAGGCCCTTCCAACCCAAACCATCCTGTGATTCTCCAATCCATGGGGGTGATTCCAGCAGTTACAGAATCTCTTCCCAGCTCAGCTCTAAAATCCCTGTCATGACTCGAAGTGGTGTTTATCAGACAGAGTGAGGGACCTGGGGTACAGTCAGAGCCCTCTGAGACAGTATTTGACAGGAACATCTTGGGTGTGTTGGTTCACCCCGAGTTTTGAAGCCCACCTGGAGGGATCAGCACAGGCCTGAACACAGTGGAGTGATCCAAGGACAGCTCCTTGGAGCCCTGCATTAATGACAGGGATCAGTTCTCCCAGGCTCTGCAGGAGGGAAGTGTGGAGGAAAGTAGGAGGAAGATGTGAAAGAAGGTAACAGTGCCACTGAGGGAACACTGGGTGTGTTGCAGTGAGCACTGGCAGTAGTTAGTGACATCCTGCAGACACACAAGTGCATTAACTCCAGGTTTCAATTTCCAGCGTGCCTCAGCTTTCTGTCTGCAGCTGTTTGCAGCTCGCCTGGTAAGAGTTTTTATCATCTTTCAAGTGCTTTTCCTAACACATTTCATAGCTTGCACACCCTCACCGAGCTCCATTTTAAAACATCATGCTTTTTGAAGGAGGAACTTGATAGAAATGTAGCCCAGGAGCAGCGTCCCTTGCACTGCTGTGTCTGTTGTGCTGAACTCTGTCCTCTGGGTGCTTTATTGCTCTGGGGGCACATACTGAGCTGCTCTGATTGGGTTTGTTTAGTAGAATTGTTGCAGTCTCACACTTGCTTGCCATCATTTTGGTGTGTTGTTTGTTGGTTTGTTTGTGTCGTTTTTTCTTTTCTAGAAAGAATTCTGGGAGGGCCTCCCTACAACCTGCAGATGAAGTCGCGCAATTTCCAGCACATTCTGTCCTGGCAGGCCAGGAATGACCCAGCTGTGCCAACATCCTACAGCGTGCTGTACAGACACCACGGGCAAGTCTAGAAAATAAGGCACAAATTCAGCTTTTGCTGTTTAGTGACTCAAATAGGAGGCAGGTGGTGGAGTGCCCAGCCCTGGAGGTGCCCAAGGCAGGCCTGGCCGTGGCACTCAGTGCTCTGGGCTGGGGACAAGGTGGGGATGGGGCACAGGGGGATCCATGGGCTGGGAGGGCTTTTCCAGCCTCAGGGATTTTGGGATTCTGTGAAAGTAGTAAGGCTGAGGTTTTCTTGCTTTTTCACTGAGAAATGCTTTCCCCCCCACTCCTGTGCTTTCCTGTGTCAGAATTCAGATTGTTTTGTCCTTTTTGACAGGAACTCGAACTGGACAACTGCCAGGCAGTGCTCAGGCACTGCTCAGCTCTCCTGTGACCTGACAGAGGATTTCAAACACAGGTCCTCTGACTACTATGTGTTTGTTCAGAGCATCGAAGGACCTGAGGTGTTCAATTCTTCCATGCTGCATTTTGCACCATTGAGTCAGAGTAAGTTCTCTGTCTGCATAGCTCATTTTAGAGGTTTTTCTCAACAGCTGATTTATAAATTATATTCTGCCCTTGCAGTGAGACTCCAAACTAAGTGGATCAGTGGCTATTTGTATATTATATAAGTCACTTACAGACCTAATTTTTTTCAAAATTAGTGCTGATACTAGTTCTGATAAACGGACTCGAAATTAAAAATCTGGTTTTGAAATAAAATACATAAATGTAAATATAAAGGAAATAGCATTGTGTCAAGTATTGCCAAACACAAAGTAAAAATCTCTGAAGTGCAAAAGATACATAACTTAAAAATAAAAACAAATTGGTTTTATGTCTTGGAATAGTTATATAAAGGTTGGAGGATCATGGAGGAGAAACAGGTCACGTTCCCCCTGAATTCAGCCCAGAGGCAGCTGCTGTGGCCACTTCAGGCTCGGAAATGTGGGCAGATTGGAGGGGATGAGGAGAATGGGCACAACTGGAACTGAGGGGGTTGAGAACATCCCTGAGGAGGAGACCTGGAGCCCCTCAGCACTGGGTTTGGTAGAAAGGATTGGACAAGGGGAATGGCCTTAGGCTGGAGGAGGGCAGGGTTAGATGGGATACTAGGAATAAATTCTTCCCTGGGAGGGTGGGCAGGCCCTGGCACAGGTTGGGCAGAGAAGCTGTGGCTGCCCCTGGATCCCTGGAAGTGTCCCAGGCCAGGTTGGACGGGGCTTGGAGCACCCTGGGCTGGTGGAAGGTGTCCCTGCCCATGGCAGGGGGTGGCACTGGGTCCATCCAACCTTTAAGGTCCCTCCCAACCCAAACCATCTGGGATTCTATTCAGTGCATGAACCTCAGCTTTTCTCTCAGGTAGATACAAAGGTCAGATCTCTGTGAAGCTGAAGCAAAACCTCTGACCCCTTTCTGCTTCTTCCCTCCCCTCTAGTCCTTTCTGGGTTTAAAATCTAGTCCTGTGGGAAATTATAATTTGACTCTGGGAGTTAAATGTTCCAAGGCCTTGTGGAATTCCAGCAGTGGCATACTCTGGAATCTTAGTCAGCTCCATGTCCATCACCAAAATACAGTTGGTACTGAATATATAATGTATAGTTTTTCCATCATTTTTGCCCTTTCTTGTTTTTCCATAGCATCCCTGGGACCACCAGAAGTTAATATCACTCCTTGTCTAAACTGCATCAATGTCACCATAAAGCTGCCACCCTCTCACTACAGAGAAAAGGGAAAGCTGCTCTCTTTAATTGATATCTATGAAGAGCTTGATTATGTAATAACACTGAAATCACAAGGTGGACAGCATAAGGTAAAGAACTTTGGGGTTTATTTGTGCTTTAGGGGAGAAACAAAGAAAGCAAAAAATGGTGAGCAGGTCCCCAATGCAAATATGGGAGTGGAAGCAAAAGAAAACATAGAAATGTGTCTTCTTAGAAGAAAGAGAGTGGCCAGCATGGTCTGGGAGGTCTGGGAGGGTGACCAGGGATCTCTTTTTAGGCCAAACTGACTTTAAAACATCGACTTTCATTGGCAGATGCCACGGGAGAAAACCACTGAAGAAGTTTTTAGTACTGTCATTGAGGAATTGTATCCAAGTCGGAATTACTGTGTGTCTGTTGAGGTCACTGCATCCCTGAACAAAAATTCCATCCCCTCGCCCTGGAAATGTGTCCCTTCAGACTCGATGGCTCGACCAGGTAACTGTGCTGGCAGGGGTTGTCTGGATGGATGGTGTGGGGAGATTTACAACTCAGTCCTGAAAAATGATAGGTGATACAGAATCCTGGAATATCCTCAGCTTGGAGGGACCCCCGAGGATCACCCAGTGCCACCCCAGTCCCTGCCCCAGGACACCCCAACACTCCCCCCTGTCCCTCAGAGCGTTGCCCAAAGGCTCCTGGAGCTCTGGCAGCCTTGGGGCCGTGCCCACTGCCCTGGGGAGCCTGGGCAGTGCCAACCACCCTCTGGGGGAAGAACCTTGTGCTGAGCTCCAACCTGAGCCTGCCCTGGCACAGCTCCAGCCCTTCCCTGGCTCCTGTCCCTGTCCCAGCCAGCAGAGGTGGGACCTCAGTGTCAGAGAGAAAGGACCTTCCAAAAGATTAACCCTGTGAGGATTTGGAAGTGGAATATAAAACCCCACCCACCCTGGGGCAACAAATCTCTTGGCAGTCCTGTGAGCCCCACAAACCTCCACTCACTGCAAAATGATCAAAGATGGTGTCATTTCTTTTTTAATTCCTGAATCTAATCTGAGGTTTGGTCTTGTTTTGACTTTGACTTTCAGAGGTCCCTTCTAACCAAAATTAATTCTCCACAGCTGTTGTGAATGTGGAGGATGAAATGTGGTCATGGTGCCCTTCATGCACTTGTGTTTATTTATTGTTTTTCCTCCCCAGGTTATCATGTAGCTTCAGTGGCAAGTGCTGTGTGTGTCTTACTGGTAATAGCTGCTGCCTTGAAGTGTCTGCATGCAGGAGGTTATTTTCTTCAAAGCAAATCACTGCCACATGCCTTGGTATGTAATAACTCTGGGATTTAACCTTTCTGGTTGGGAGGAGGAATTTTACCTCCTCGAATTTCTAATCCTGTGCATTAGGTGCAAGTTATGTAAGAACACAGAATGTTTACTTTGCAGTTTGTTTGATTTATCTCTGTCAAAGATAATCTGCAGGCTGCTAAGTCTTGTCTGATCTTAAAAACAAATATTCAGTCTTTCTCAAAACCATTCATTTTCTCCTTCTGTGATGTTACCAACAGAGATAGAGAATCACCCCCTACTGCTGGTACTTGTCAGGAATACCCTGCCCAGTTCTGGTCCCCACAGCACAACGAAGATGTGGACAGACTGGAGAGGGTCCAGAGCAGGGCCCTGGGAGGAGAGGCTGGAGGAGGAATTGGGCCACTGTTTTGAATAAAATAATCCCTCTTTTTCTGTGACCAAGTGTTCTGGCCCTTGAGGAAGCCAGTCCTGAGCCAGCTAATCTTTGATTTTCACAGGAGAGACTGAACTGCCACTAGATCTCAAGCAGAAATGTTTCAATCCGTCTTTGCTTGCTTGTTTTATTTTTATAGTCTTAGAAAGAGACCAGTTTATTTTACATTTAATTCTGTGGGGGTTTTTAGCAGAAATGTTTTCCATTTTCTGCAAACATACCCAGAGCAGGTTGGTCTCACCTTTTTCTAAGACTTTTTGCCTCATTTCTATTCTTTGCTGTGTCATTACCTTCACAACCCTAGAAGTGCAGAACATGACTTTGCCAAGCAGTGTCTAAGGTTTATTTATTTATTTATTTACTTACTTATTTATTTGTCAACATTTTCCCTCAATGCTTTGGATATTAAATAATCCTCTGAAGTGCAGGGAGAAAATGGGGCTTGGGATGTCAAAATTGCTTCAAATAGTAATTTCTAAAGGACAATAAAATGGATCAGGTAGCTGCAAGAGCTCAGACAGATTTGCAAGACTTGGCTCAGGTTAAAGATGTGTTTCTAAAATGAGTTTTTAGTCTTAGAAAGAGACCTCAGAAATTAGAATTAAATCATTACATACCTGACATTGGCACTATTGTCATTTGTTTCTGTGGCTGCCCAGTGTGCCTGGATTTGTAGTGAAGGCTGTCGTGTTTTGGCTTTAAACTGAAACAGAGTAGGGTCAGATGGGATATTGGGAAGGAATTGCTGGCTGGGAGGGTGGGCAGGCCCTG